ATTCCCCCTCATTCGACCAAATTCTGGGTAATGAATCCATGTTGAATGTTCACCACCATTTTCCCCTCAAAATAACTCCAAAATTCCAACAAGGAGAAAAATTCACCTCCAAGGAAAGTAATCTACAAAGAGGATACAAAGAAACTAGCATCTAATGTCACAGGACAAGATCACAGAACCTAGAGACGAGCGATGCATTGGTCTATATATAGGGATATACATCATAAGTTAAAGAAAAATGCTTAGGGCTATGCATGCCACAAGCAACAAACAGAGTTGTCAAGGAGAAGTAGATTTTGAAAACAACTACTATTCCACGAATTCAGTACCTGAAAAAGGTTATCTATACAAAAACAAGATTTTAAGTTTCAAGTCAGATAATGCGGCAAGATGATATCTAATCTAAATTAAGCTATAATCAAGTAGAAAGAGTTGATATATGTCACTTTAACACAGCACTGAACAATCTAGTAAAGATGATACCTGATGGATCTGTTTGACCATTATCTAAACACCCAAGTGGTGACTAAAGCATTCTACCATCACTTGCCAAAGTCATGTAGAAACCATATTCCTAAGGTTCACCCTCTGTTTCCCTTGAGCAAAATTGTTACCCCTTCCATATGATCTTCCTTCCCCATCATTCTTCCTTTGTCCCTCATGTCTCCTCCCATTCATACCTCGACTCTCTTTCACTAAAGATCTCCTCGGCTCAATGTTTTCCACTCGAACACCTCTACGTCCTTCCATTACCCTCTCCCGGCTACCATCATAACCCTCATCCTCGTCCTCATCATCACTCTCCTCATCCTCGCTGTCAAATTCCTCTGAATAATCATCACCTTCCTCTTCATCCTCATCCTCATCATCATCACCGTCTTCATCTTCACCCACCTCATCATCAGCCTCACCCACTGACCTCCTCCCCCCTTTCTTCTTGCCCTTCCCCTTCTTCTTCCCGCTCTCCTCCTTCCCCTTCCTCATAAGATGTATATACTGGTACCTCAAACCCATCAGAGGATGTTTCTCCAAAAGCAAATCCCTCCTATACCCCTCCCTCAACACCACGGTCTGCCTCCTAATCTTATTCGACACATAAAACACCCCTGCATGATTCATAACCAACCTCCTAAACCTCGCCGGATTCAACCCCAAACAACCCACCACCATCTCCAAGTTCCCCTTCTCCATCTTCCTCCCAATCACCAAACTCAAAATCTCATGAACCAACCCCACCGCCCACTTCTCCCAGACATCGCTCTTCGGCGGCAACCTCGACCCATCTTCATACGGAGACACATAAGGCAATCTTTGCCACTCCTCAACCCACTTCCTCACCTTCTTCTCCATCTCAAAACCCCTCGAAAATTTCAGCGGGAACGCAAGCGGGGCGCCTTTCTTGTACCCGCCCGTCTTTGCAGCGTAGCGCTCCATGGCGGACTGCGCCAGGTCAGAAATGTAGCATACGAGCTCAACGCTGAGGGTAGAATCAGAAGGAGACGACGGAATGAGCTGGAAGTAATCCGGAAAGAGAGGCAACAGGCTTCTTGCGAAGTCAGGCGGGAGGCCGAGATCGAAACGAATGCGATGGATGAGTGATAATGGTAGCCGGCGGCGGGGGGAGAGCATGAGGAGAC